GCAGCCTAGGCCTGGTCCAGCTGCCAAGTCTATGGCCAGATCTATGATCAAGTAGAGGAATGTTGCCTGAGACTGAAGGTGTAGCCAGATGTGGTGGCTCATACCTGTGATCCCAGCACTTGAGAAGCTGAGGAAGGTGGACCATGAGTTCACAGTAAGTCCCAAAAAATGAAGGAAAATAAGAAGTAGACAGGATGAGAAGGAGAAAGGGAGGAAAGGAGGGAAGGAGGAAGAAAATAAAAGGAGGGCTGGGAAGGTAGCTCAGTGGTAGAGCGCTTGTCTTGCATGCCTGAGGCCCTGGGTTCTATTCCCCAGCACCGCATAAGCAAAAAGAAAAAAGCCGGAAGTGGCGCTATGGCTCAAGTGGTAGAGCACTAGCCTTGAGCTGAAGAGCTGAAGGACAGCGCCGAGGCCCAGAGTTCAGGCCCCACGACCGGACCCAAAATAAATAAATAAATAAAATAAAATAAAAGGAAAGGAAAGGAACAGAAAAAGAAAGGAAAAAAAGGAAGATATAAAAAATAAAACAAAACTGAAGCAGGAGAAAATGAAGAAGGGGGTGACAATGTCCAAGAACCACTGTACACATAACCTAAGCTTTTTGTACAACTCCTTAATAACAATAATTTTTAAAATTGAATATATTATCTCTCTCTCTCTCTCTCTCTCTCTCTATATATATATATATATACACACACACACACACACACACATATTTGTTTTTCCAGTCCTGGGGCTTGAACTCAGGGCCTCGGCGCTGTCCCTGAGCTTCTTTTGCTCAAGGTTAGCACTCTACCCCTTAAGCCACAGCATCACTTCTGGCTTTTTGTGTTTGTGTGGTACTGAGGAATCAAAGCCACAACTTCATGCATGCTAGGCAAGCACTCTGCCACTAAGCCACATTCCTAGCCCTGAAAATGAAAATATTCTTTTTTCTTCTGGTCATGGGGCCTGAACTCTAGACCTAGGCGCTGTCCCTCAGCTCTTTAGCTCAAGGCTAGCACTCTACCCCTTGAGCCACAGAGCCACTTCTGGCTTTTTCTGCTTATGTAGTGCTGAGGAATCGAACCCAGGGCCTCATGCATGCAAGGCAAGCACTCTACCACTGAGCCACCTTCCCAGCCCTCGAATATATTCTTAGGAAACATCTCCAGATAAGGCCCTGGAGCTGAGGCTCTGGGAATGATGGACATGTGTGCATATCCATAGATAGATAGATAGATAGATAGATAGATAGATAGATAGATAGATAGATAGATGTAATTCATTCCCTTATTCTACAAATACTTTCAATATTTTAATTCAATAACCATTATTGGTCAGCAAGGGCTCCAGAGCACAAAGGAACCCATATCCTCACCAATATGAATAGAATCTACAACCAGCATACAGACCCACCAAGGCTCACAAGAAACACAGACACATTTTGGCTGGGGCCCAAAAGAGAAAAGGACTCATTCCTCCTGGAGGGTCCAACCTTTTGGGGTGGACTTTCAGCCTACATCATTGTCTCCTTGAACAAGGAGCTGGCTAGGGCCAGCCTCTCTCTAAAGCAGGCTGTCCCACTGTGGGAAGAAGGGATTCAAGAATTTTCCTAGAATTTCACTGGGAGCAGTGTCCTTGGGAACAGGGCTAATCAAGAGTTCACAGTTCACAACTGTGTTAGGGCAGAAAATAATTATTTGGTGATTGTCCCCAGTTATTGACACACAAGGCCAGAAATCCTTGGAATCCCTGGAGTGAAAAAAAAAACAACATGTGTTTTATATGCCGATGAAACGACAGGTGTCTGGGAGCCTTAAGAGCTTCAGGACTGGGTGCTCAGCATTGCCAGAAAGGAGACGTCAAGATGAGAGGGTGAGCGCTTACAGCACTCCCCCTCCTCACTTTATATCTCCCCTGCACGCACACCTATCACATCGCTGGGGAGGGGAGAGGGTCTGGACATTGAGTCCAGGCACCACTAGCAAGGCTTTGATTAATCCTACCTGCCCAGTGAAATCTCCAGTAAGAAGACTTAAACGACAGGACTGAGAGAGCAAGCGTCCAGGTTTGTGACCACATAGAAGAACTGAGAAGATTGGGAACTGGGAGGGAGACTAGAAAGCTCCATCACTCCTCAAAGACCTTATCCTGGGTATCTCTTCTCTTAGACTGTTCTTGAGTTGAATCCTTTTATATTGAACTGGACTCCTGGAGTCCTGTGAATCATTCTAGCAAATTATCAAACCCAGAGGGAGCTGTTGTGGGAACCCACAGCTTTGTAGCCACACCAGAGAGAAAATGTGGGCAGCCTGGGAGCCCAGTGCTTATGTCTGGTGTCTACAGTGAGGGCAGTCTTGTGAGACTGAGCCCTTAAACCTGTGGTGTCTAGGCTAACTACAGACAGTGTCAGAATTGAACTGAATTGTTTGATAGTGGTTTCCAGGTTTTTGTTTTTATTTTCATTTGGCTTTCGAATGAGGGGTTTTTTTGCGGGGGGGTTCAGTCGTGGGGCTTAAACTCTGGGCCTGGGCGCTGTCCTTCAGCTCTTCAGCTCAAGGCTAGTGCTCTACCACTTGAGCCACAGCACCACTTCCGGCTTCTTTCTTTTTTTGCTTATGTGGTGCTGAGGAATCGAACCCAGGGCCTCATGCATACAAGACAAGCGCTCTACCACTGAGCCACTTTCCCAGCCCCTCAGACGAGGGTTTAAACTCAGTTCTTCACCCTTGTTAGGCAAGCATTCTCCCACTTAAGCCATGCTTCCATCCCTTTTTGTGCTTCAGTTATTTTTCAAGTAGGGTCTTGTATTTTTTTTCCTGGGGCCAGCTTCAGACAGATCCTCCTACCTATGGCCTGGGACAAAAGACACATCCCACCACACTTGGCTTATTGATTGAGATAGGGACTCACATACTTATTGCCCAGCTAGTTACAAACTGATCCTCTGCATCTCTGCCCCGGAAGTAGCTGTTAGTACAGGCATGTACCACGATGCCTAGCCTTATTGTTGGAATTTCTGATTATTGTCAGAGAAGTAGAGAGTTGTTTGATGTGGGCACACAAACTTGTGGAAGGTGTCCTAAATTGGTTATGGAATTTTCCATACCAAAATCAAAGTCATACACAAGCTGTTTAGACTCAGTTTTCAGGATTAAGGCATCTGAAGAGTGTTGTCTGTCCCCTTCTTTTGAGTCTCCTCTCCAGATGTACAAAAGAACTGCACCCCCAGCCTCCTTCTAGGCATCCTGTCATTCCTCCCCCCTCCCCAGACCCCATTATCCCCACAATAGCTAGGTGCATCTGTCCCCTCATCTCTACTTAGTCTTATAACCACATTAGCCTTTTAGGGGCTGTTCTAGCTCTTCAGCATATCCTCTAGAAATGTGACTATTTGTCTTTTTTTTACTCAAAGTGAGTAGCTTCCAGGCACAGGTCTCTGGTTTATTTCCCAGTTCAACCAAATAGGAAGCTTCAAGCCTTAACTGAAGTATCCTGTCTTCCTAAAAAGAAGGCCTGCCAGGGTCACAGCTTCTCTAGTTGCAAGAAATAAGCATTCATTCAAACTCATCTGAGCCAGTATGAAAAGTTTATTATAATTTCTGGAATAACCATGCTGCCCCAGAAAATGGAAAAAGCAGAAAATGGCTAAGGATGTATCTTGGTGAAAGAGTACTTGTCCAGCATGTGTGAGGCCCTGGTTTCAAGCCTTCACACTGCAAAAAGAAGAAAAGGGAAAGGAAAGAAAGGAAATGAGGAAGAGAGTGAGGAAGGGAGTGATGGGAAGGAGGGAGGGAGGCAAGAAAGGAGGGAGGAAAGAAGGAAGGGGAGAGGGAGAGAGAGGGAGAGAGAAACAGAGGGAAGAAGGGAAGGAAGGAACAAACGAATGAACGAACGAAGGAAATCTAGAAGGACCTTTATATGCTATTTTGACCATAGGACAGGGATCAGAAATAGACAGCTGTCAGGAAAAAGGTTGCTACCCTGTGAAATCCATGCTCCAAATATCCAAAATCTTCAGGCTTACATAATTGCTCAACACATCACTTTGTATATCTACTTCATTATTCTTACCACAATGGCTTTTTTTTACTTCTCTGCCCACATGATGGGAAATGGCCCCATATAAATTCTAAGATATGCCTGGTACTAGTAGGTTACACCTGTAATCCTAGCTGCTCAGGAGACTGAGATTTGAAGATCACAGTTGGAAGCTAGCCCCGGCAAAAAAGTGTGAGATTCTTGTTTCCAATAAACCACTCAGAAAAAGCCAGAAGTGGTGCTGTGGCTCAAATGGTGGAGCACTAGCCTTGAGCAAAAGAATCTTAGAGACAGCACTCAGGCCCTGAATTCAAGTCCCAGGACTGGCAAAAACAAAAAATAAACAACAACAACAACAACAAAAAACACCCAAGATGTGAAGTTCTTCAGCTCAGACAACCTAGATTAGATAGAATTCTCATTCCAAAACCTCAGAAAGTAAACTTATTTGACGGTGACCACCTAGGTGACAAATCATGACCAAATAAATGGCTATTTATACTCAGAGTCAAGTATCAGGCATGAGCCGGAATGAAGGAGTGATTCTTAAAGAAAGTGGATGCTGTCCTGGTGAATAACCCACAGCCCCGCAACAACTATGCTACCACACTTAAGAATTTACTAGAATTATGCCCAGTCACCAACTGAGAACCTGGCAAGGCCATTTGGGTAAAGAAAGGCCATTTGCTGTAAAGAAGGCAATGTAGAATCTGTCCGGTCCTCCAATCAGCAATCTTTTGTTTTTGGTCGGTCATGGAGCTTGAACTCTGGGCCTGGGCGCTGTCCCTCAGCTCTTCAGCTCAAGGTAAGCACTCTACTGCTTGGGCCACAGGGCCACTTCCGGTTTTCTGGTGGTTTATTGGAGATAAGAGTCTCACAGACTTTCCCTGCCCGGGCTGGCTTTGAACCTCGATCCTCAGATCTCAGCCTCCTCAGTAGCTAGGATTACAGGCGTGAGCCACCGGCGCCCGGCTGAATCAGCAATCTTTTGTGGTCGGAGCAACTTCAAAAAGCAGCTGGAGATGCAAGGTGGCCTCCTGCAAACACTTGGGCTGGCACCGGAAGTAGATAAGCAGGAAATACACCGGGATACCACTGAGCAGGAACAGGAAGATGTACAGCAACTCCATCTGGGGATGGTCGATGATGGGTGCCAGCACCAGGAATAGAGAAGCCAGAAGCATGATGACAGGGATGGCGGTGGGAACCTGCAGCCGGCAGAGTGAGCATTTGGCTACCGACATACGTGTAAAGGGAGTTTCTGCTGCTCCTTTCTGCTTCCTGCTGCCTACATCCACCACCAGCTCCTGTCTTCCAGATCCTGCCAGGGTACCTTGACTGGGCCAAGGGAGTTAACTTCTGGGCTGAGAACTACTCAGGAAGCAAAGGCGTGGGGATCAGTGTGAGCATCTCTGCTAAGTGAATAAAAGTGCATAGCCCCTGTATTTGTCCCCTATTGTTCTCCACGAGGGTCCTCCAAAGGAGAAATGATCAACTCCACAGCAAGTAGAACTAATGCTTTGTGATTAGATGTCCTTCATCCACCCCAACAGCAAATAAGAAAAAAAATTGCCAAATATAATAGTAGTGCTATTCATTTATATTCTTTTGTTTGTTTTTTCTTTGCCAGTCATGGGGCTTGAACTTAAAGCCTGGGCAGTGTCCCTGAGCTTTTTTGCCCAATGCTGGTGCTCTATCTACTTGAGCCACAGTTCCATTTCCACTTTTTTGGTGGTTAATTGCAGATAAGAATCTCATGGACTTTCCTGCCTGGGCTGGCTTTGAACAGAGATCCTCAGCTCTCAGCCTCCTGAGTAGCTAGGATTACAGGCATGTAGCCACCAGTATCTGTCTTTCCCCCTATGTTCTTTCTCTGGGCTTTTGAGACTGTAGTCCAAAAAGTTTCCTCATATAGTAGCCGAGGGTGAAAAAAATCCAATGCTCTCTGGTAATCTTCACTTCTCAGGAGGTTGAGATTTGAGGATCTCAATTTGAATCCAGCCTAAGTAGGAAAGTCCATGAGACTCTTATCTCCAGTTAACCACCAAAAACTCAAAGCTGTGGCTCAAGTGGTAGAGCACCAGCCTAGAACAAAAATGCTCAAGGACATCACCCAAGCTCTAAATTCAAGTCTTAGAACTGGCACACACACAGGCACGTACATACTCTCTCTCTCTCTCTCTCTCTCTCTCTCTCTCTCTCTCTCTCTCTCTCGCTCGCTCGCTCGCTCTCCCCCCACCCCCAATGTCTATACCTTGTAAGTTCGGGAAAGACTCTTTGTCTTTATCCTCAAGTACAAGAGACAGCTAATGGTGGTTCCATAGATGACCCAGGATATGAAGCTACAAGGAAAAGCAAAGAATAGATGAAGCGCTCTCTGGATGGATTTGGAGAGAGTACCCCAAGATTGGAAAGAATGTTTGTGCTTCCTGGAAGCTGGTGTTCTCTGCAGAGATTGGCCCATTCATAGCAGAGTGCCCCTCCCCGCCACTCCCAGCCTATCTTTGCACTTAGGGTTGATGACATGACCCATGGACCACTAAGCAGCCCACCAAATCCTCATCTCTGCCCTCTTCAGTGTCTATAGTTGAGTGTCTGCTGTTAGTCTAATAAAAACTCCATCTAAGCATAGAAGCAGAGTCTAGACTAAGCAATGTCTGGAGGTCAAAACCAAGCTACCTCTTGAGGAAGCATTGGTTCCTAGTTGGAATGGCTTTTCCTAGGATTCTTGCTCTGTGCTAGGATATTCTCAGTCCCTTTCCTCAGTCTCCACCCAAAGACACCACCCTCCCATGCTCACTATGGACTTGATATTATTCTTTCTCATGGGGAAAAGATGAAAGGAGGAAAAAGCATGTCTGTTACTTACTGTTCTTAAAAGAGCCAGGCCAAGCACAGTATGTTCTGTTCCAGATTAATTAGACAACAAAGGAAGGGAACATGCCATGCCTGAATTATTGCCAGATCTCCCTCTGCACCCATTAGGCTTGCCTGCTGGTTTAAGAATCTGCCTGTCCACAGAGACGGACAAAGGGTGAACAAACGCAGCAGTGGTACTCACTGGACACTCTGTTGAAAATGAACTATACCATTTGTGAGTAGGGATGGCAGGGAAAAACTGTGAGAGAATAAGGGAAGGGATGGTGTTATCCAAAAAGAAATGTACTCTTTACCTGACTTATGTAACTGCAGCCCCTCTGTACATCACCTTTGTAGAAAACAATAAAAATATTTTTAAAAAGAATCTGCCTGTCAACCATCTTCAAATGAGCTTAAAAAAAAAGCTAGTGACCTTTTTTTCTGTAATTAAGCCTGTGATTTCCATCTTGAGAAAAATAGTAAAAGGGGGGGTCAGACCATCTCTCGATTTTGATGCATTCACTAGCTAGGTCAACATAGGCTGGCATGGGTGAACCGAGCTCAACAGATACTACACTAGAACCAAATCCAGACCCAGACTGCAAAGGGGGAAAAATTCATACCATGCCAAGGGCTCCAAAGAGTGTTAATAATGCCTGAATACACTTCCACATAATAAAGGACCAAGAAAGAAGAAAAATAATAACAATGAAGACAGAAGCCTTTGACTATTTTTGGTTTTAAAAAAAATCTGTCCTATTGAATTTGGGGGAACAGAGCAAGAAAGAGAAAGAGCCACATTTAATTTTGGAAACATGACTCAAAAAGAATGTCTGAAATGTGTTGCTACCCTACTGACACTACGCTTCCAGAAGTGGGCATATATGTTTATACACATGCACGTGTAGGTGTGTATACTCAGAGCTAAAGAGGTATTACGCATGTGTTCATATGTATGTGTATAAGTGCAAGTGGGTAGATGTGAAGGCCCCAAAAGAGCATCTGTGCATGTGTGTGCAAGGTGCCCACAGGACTATATAGGTGCACAGACGCCCATGACCCAATGCCCCAGCCTAGTACAAGTCTCACTTGCCTCAAGAGGTTCACTATAGTGCTGAATTCTCCTGGGATGATCAAGATCAAGGCCACAACTGCGGTGAACATCAGGGCTGGAGCAGGTGTCAGGTGATACACATGAAGCATGGACAGCAGATGGGGCTGGAAAGCAGAGCAGGTGTCGGGGAGTCCCCAGAGGAACCCCTAGAAGGAATGTCTCCCCGGTGTGCCCAAGATAATAGTCACACCACAGTTTCTGGGTTGTCAGTCTCTGTGGCTCACCTAGTTGACCAGATGCCAGGACAAGGGTGTCTGTACTCTTATCACCCTCTGCCCCACGTGACCCAGGGCCATAATCACCCTGATACCTGGAAGTGAAGCTGAGAATTGTGGAATGCTCACATAAGACTCTCAGAAGAACAGAGTTCATATCTTATGAGGGAAGTCTTTCTGTAGGCTAATTGCTAGGTTCAGAAAATAGGGAGCATAGCATGCAGGGTTTCTAGCATCCTCCATGGCCCCACCCCACCAGGCCTGGCCATGAACCCCATCTCTCACCATATGGCCCTCTCTTGCAGCTGCGAAGCACACACGACTGCCACTGAAGAACGTCCCATTGACGGAACCAAATGTCGAAAGGGCAACAGCTACAGGCATCAGCCAGGCCCAGGACCCCAGAACCTGTTTCCTGTGAATGCAGAAAGATCAAGGGACGGAACTCTAAAAGAATTAGATGATAGCCACAAGGCCCTCTGTCCTTGGAAATGGAGCAAGCATTGCATTCAAAGGCAAGTTCAAATACACATAGAGCGCCACCTTTCCCCATCCTGAATGTCTAGTGCCCCAGGACATACTTCAGGATGCACTCACCCCCAGACCACAGCCATCGCCTTAGAGGAGAGGATCTCACTGGGCGAAAGCACCAGCAGGTAACTGATATTGACCAAGAGGTACAAGCTGGTGACCATAGGAATGGCGATCATCACTGCCCACAACAGGTTTCGCTGCAGGGTTTGAGAGAGGAACATATGTTAGCCGGTAAGGTCAATCTAGGCCCCCCAAAATTACTGGCACTGTGCTGGTGATGAGGATTTCCAGGAGCCCTTCCTGTCCCTCCTACATGAGTTTGTGATTAACACATAGACATGCATTCAGGCAAATGAGCTGGGAGACTTCACAGGCAAGAACCAGAATCAGAGCAGCACAGGTATAAAGGATCTGACCGGGTGGGAAGGAAAGAAGAGTGATCATGATAGCTTCCAGGAGAAGGTAGAACTTCAACTAGGTTCTCCTTGAAGAGTGGAAGGGATTTAGGTGGAGGGGAGAGACAGGAATTCCTCGTAGGGGCAACAAGAGATCAGAGCAGAGAAACAGAAACAGAAAAGTTGAAGATCTCATTTGTCTGCTATTCAGTAGCAAACTGGCTCTGCCTGGGCCCAGGTGAGATGACCTGTAGCCAAGTAGCAAAGGTTATCCCCTCACAGGCCTCCCTGCAGGATGCCCTTGGCAAGGTAAGCACTCAGCATATATGACCCAGCCCCACACTTATTCAGGGGCAAAGAGCCTGGTATACTTTTGAACTTGACCTCCCTGGGCAGCCTTCCTACCAATAAGCATCTATTAAAAAAAATCAGCATAGCCCCAAGCTATACCATGAACTGGAATCTAACCAGAATACCACAAGAGCAGTGAGAGTTTCTGATTTCACTCTTAGGGTTCTTAGTTCTCCACTTAAAGCCCAGGGAATCTGCCCATAAGCCTGGCCCTGGTTTGCTAAAGGTTTCACAGTTTCTTGGAGAGCTAAGTTAATGCAGAATCTCAACTGCTGGTATTCAGAGAATTACCTTAGGATATGCTTTGATACAGACCCATCTTCATCAGAAATATTCTGGATCCAGTAGGGACCAGAAAACTGTAGCTGTGGACCAAATCCAGCCTGCCACCTGCTTTTTTGTCAATGAAGTTCTATTGGAACACACCTGCCCTCCTTTGTTCATCTGGCAGCTTTCATGCTACTACAACAGAGTTGAGTCACTGTGATAGATGTCAATAGCCTATGGATCCTAAAATCTTAACTCTCAGATCCTTTATAGAAAAACTTTGCTGATCCTCACTGTAAGCACTGAATTTTGTCTCCTTTATTTTATTTTATTTTTTTGGGGTCCGGTCATGGGGCCTGAACTCTGGGCCTGGGCGCTGTCCCTCAGCTCTTCAGCTCAAGGCTAGCGCTCTACCACTTGAGCCAC